TAAATCTAATATGTTTTGAAAGACGCGTGACTCGATTTCCCCCAAAATTCCAAAAAGACCTCATCTACATTTTATCTACACTGTTTGAAACATGAATGATACATCTATCCGTCTTCCATTTTTGCGGAAAGAATCGTACGCAATAATTAAATTAAATATAAATAAACCTAAAATTTTCTCCTGAAAGACACGCATGACTTAAGTGTTCCCCAAATGAAATCCCAAAAAGACAGAAGTGGAATCCTGTTCTAGGCGAACTTCCCGCGCACACATATTCTCATGATTCAAATCATTGTCGCAATTTTTGCAGGAACTCTGCAGCCTCACAAGTGGGAAAATTGTTGGACAATCGACAAACAATCGTGGGGTTATCGAAGGAACGCGCACATATGGGAATATTGTTCGATCGAGGAACTCATTCAAGTGCTTGCAGAAACGGTTTCCTGTGGAGGTAAAGCACAACGCCATCATCAGTCCTTGCAAACATTTTCGAGAAAAATTGAGTTTTCGCAAGTTCCTCCGTGACCAACTTTTATATGGGACATATGATTTTTCTGTGTAATTTAGTTTTTAAAATTTTCAAAAATTTGTCAATTTCGAAGGTAACTTGTTGCTGAACGTTGGCCCATCCCACGATGGAACAATTAAGCCTATTTTCGAAGAACGACTCCTGCAAATGGGAGTTTGGCTGAGAGTCAACGGCGAAGCAATTTATCATTCCAAACCATGGTTGCATCAAAACGACACAGAGGTGTCAGATGTTTGGTATGTACTTATTGGAATAAAATTGCCCTCATCTCAAGATATAAAACACGTGAATTCCATCACAGGTACACGAAAAGAACTTTCGAAGATGGTTCCGATAAAGTGTACGCCATTCTTCTCGACTGGCCAGCAACCGGGACGCTGGTGCTGGGAGCGCCAAAATTTTGCACGAATACAATCGTGAATCTGCTCGGGTGGCCACAACCGATCACGGTAATTATACTGTACTTCCAAATTATTCTCTTTCCAGCTGGGGTAATATAACTTTACATAAGAAAAAATGTTTGAGCGGAGCAACTATAAATTACAAGTGTACCTTGATAACTCAAACCTCCATAGTTCGAAAACATTATTTTAACTTCAAACCTATCTTCAGACCCTGTTTGAAATCTCTTTACGCACTGCAGACTTTCCCAAGTGAATAACTTGTATTTCTAGAGGTCTTTTTGTTATAATTCATTATATTCCGCGAAAGAGGAAAGCAAATAAGATTATGCGCTGATGTTTTTCACAAGGAATTCAGTGGATAATTGGACAAAAGTACTCTTACATCCAACCTTAGCATTCCATCAAAATAATTTTAAAAGCAGGTCAAGGCCTAAAATATCACCAATTTTGAATTACTGTAATTTTTCATTTTCTCCCCAGGAATATTGCTACATTGTTCTGGGTTTTTCAAACTCAAAAATCCATCAAGTTGAATTTTAGCTGTTCCATGCGGGTTCAGCTTGAAAATTTTCAACTGTAATTACTTTTGCGTTTCCATTCATAAGTACTGTAATCAAGTTACTCATCCATCAAAATACAACTGTACCTTTCCACTTGAATTATGCCTTCTTAAGAAAGGGACGTATTAATTATATTATAGGATATATTAAGGAACAGCATTGATATAAAGTCTATAATTTCAACAGTGGACAGCATCAACAAGAGGACCGGAGATCGTTCTTCCGCCAAGACAACAAGTAGTGACGGATTGGGCGTGGGTTCTTGTATTTCAAGGACTGTGCAACGACAAGTCCTGAACAAGTGCTTGGAAAAAAAAA